ATCACCGAAATCAATTTTTAAATTTTTAAAATTGATTTCGATGATAAAAGATCAAGAGAATAATATAAATCTTCAAAATGATATAGATAAATGAAACAAGTGATTTATAAATGTTTAATTAAATCTAATGAATTAAAAAAAACAAAAAAACTATGTACTTTGGTAAAAATAATCAAAAACATGATTATAAACTAAATGGTTATAAACTAAAACGTGACAATTAAACGCTATTAAAAACTCAATCAGAAACTGATTTTGGCATTATCATAACAAATGGCTTAAATTGGAAACTTCACATTAAAAATGTGAAGTTTCCAAAACAATCTCATCTTTAATATCTTGCAGTAATATGGAGTCGTTTTAGAAAATATGAAATTGATAAAATCCAAAAATTCAACATAAAGCAACAAAAATGGAAAATCTAAAAGGTTTATTTACAAAGAAAAAGTAGATCATCTAAAAATCAAAACTTTAGAAAATAGAAGGAAAAAATAAGATTTTATTCAAATGCTTAAAATAAATTTACATAATCACTTTGTAACAACTGCAAGACATAAGAATTAGAAGAAAGATACTAAATAAAGTTTCAAAGAATGAAACAGACACAGCTTCTTTAAAAAGTAGAATATCTAATGATTGGAAAACTTACCACAAGATGCAATAAACTCATATTCAATTTACTCTTTTAAAAACAAGATCAACTCAATCTTCAAATATAAAAAACAAAAGGTGAAACTGAAATTCTAGGAGATTCTAGTCTTAACTCAATGAGTTAGGTCACATGTACGTGTATATAATTTATATACTTTATACTCTACTCTCATACACTTAAAAAGACTCATCAGAAATAAATGATCAAATATGTTTATGATTGACAAAATGTTTTTTCCATTCAACCAATACTTTGTTATTGGGTACATTCGTAGAAAAAACAATACAATTATATAACACACTTTTCAACAAACATTTTCCACTCATTAGAAAATTTAATTTTTGTTTAACAATGTAATTAGTAATACCAAGTAACAAAGATGGTGAATATTATAGTAAACTATTTATTAGTAAACCAAGATAGTGATAGTTATAGAATTAAAACAAAAAATACCCCACCTTTTATGTCTGATTTAAAAAAATGTGCAAATATGACCTTGTGCACATAATTAAAACAGTAAAGTTGTGGCATTTAAGTAACGAGTTTCAAAAAGAAGTTAGATGTTAAAAAATTAAATCAAATCTTAATATTTTGGTTTGTAAATAAAACAAATAACATTTACGTGATAATATTACTATTTCTTATACAAAAGAGCCTAAATTTTATTATTATTTACTTCTTTTTTATTAGTTATTTAGGAGTTCCAAGAAGTCATAACAGTATTATCACAGAGCACCACTGAATAACATTTAATCAAAAAGTCAATGCCTCTTTCCTTACCAATGACACATGTATGGTCAGAGTCAGTTTTGCACCAAAGTGGTTAGAGTTCTGAAACCAAAACTCTAACCACTACACCATAACTGCACCGAATATTTGAAAATTTATTAGAAGCCCAAAGCGTTGCTAAAAAAACCAACCTTAAAAACAGAACTGAATCAAATCTGCCCAAGCTTTTGTAACATTAAAAACTTCATAAAGCATTTTTCAAAACAATTAATCAATTTTTAAAACAAACTACCTAGTAGCTTATTAGTTCTTTCAAAAAGTGAGATTAGACATGTACACAAAGTTAAACTAAACAAAATTAATAATACTTTTTCACAGGAACTGCAATCATTATATGACCACACAAATCATATTTTGTTTTGGCTATTTAAAAAAACATTTTAAAAATGAGTTGAATGAAAAACATTTTATACATTTGACAGTTGTATATAATTTTTTTTAGTATAATTGACGATTGTATATAAAATTATATTATATAAATTGTCTAAGTATGCATTTTTTATAATAAACGGTATTAAAAAAAAATAAATTATTTTGTTTTTATAAACGATGACTTTCTTCGAAAACCAAAGTCTCTTTAACGAATTTTAGTATTAGAATAATTAATGTCAATACATTTTAAAAAGATTAAAAAAAAAAATTTTGTTGAAAAAAAAATAAAAGATAAATGTTTTAAAAAGCGGTTACAATTAGATAAGTTTGATCTTTAATGCTTTTATATTATTCAAAAAATTTTAAATTTAATGAAGTAACAAAACACTTCTAATGAACTTTTATAATGAGTATTAATAAACTGTTTTTTCTTTTTATTTATATAATTATGCATTTTTTATAACAAATGTTAACCTTTTGAAACAAATTTAAAAAACAAATACAAAGTAAAAATGTAAAAACCAAGAAATGAAATAATTTTCTAATACATAATTATTTACTCATTTACATTTACATAGAAACTAATATTTTTAAATTAGTAAAAAAAAACACTATAATTTAAATCAAGAGTGAGTATATTTTAACAATCATTAAAAGTAATTTGTTCTTTGTTTATTTATGTTTGTTAATGTTCTAAACATTAATAAAGATAAAAAATTATTCCGAATGTAATTAAAAACATAATTTAAATAAACTAAGCATTTTAGTTTGTTGAGTTTTGTTTTAGTTTAGGTTATATATATATATATATATATATATATATATATATATATATATATATATATATATATATATATATATATATATATATATATATATATATATATATATATATATACATATATATATATATATATATATATATATATATATATATATATATATATATATATATATACATATATATATATATATATATATATATATATATATATATATATATATATATATATATATATATATATATATATATATATTGTATTTTTGCTTTAGTTAAGTAGTTTTTTCATTTTCTCTTTCATTAAGATTCTTTTTTAAAGTTTTTTTTTTCAGATAAGTTTAAGCAAGTATTTTTTAGCACATTTTTAAATTTTGAAAACATGTTAAGCGCCATGGTCAAATCGTTAAAACAAACTTTTTACTTTTACAACAGCGAAAATATACTATTGATATTATAAACTGGTTTCAAAAACTGAAAGTAAAAAAGACTGTACATTTATTCAATTTGACATTAAAGGTTTTTAACCACTCAATGACATACAAATTAAAATAAGCATCTGTCATTTTTATCTTCTTTATTAAAAAAAAAAAAAACTTTAACTAGTTATTTCTACTTCTTAAATGCTAAAATACTTTTCATTTTTTAGATATATATTATCTAACATGGACTCCACACTTTTTTAGTTCAAGACATTTTATGACACTCAATAATTTAGAACAGCAATTACAAAACTTGTGGATCTTAATTATGCAAAGTGTGAAATTTAAAATTAGGAATTTAGCATAAATATAAAAAATATTATGTTTATTTAGACCTAATTTCATTTTAAATTATATTTTTTATTTCCTGCAGGCATTGCCTGTCAGACTCTTTTACAGGATTTTCAATATTTGATTGTTTATGATCACGGGAATAGGAAAGTTTGTAACATTTTTTCTTTTCATAATCTTATAGCTAGTTTCTTTATATCCACCTTACATTTCCATATGTGGAAATAGACTGTAATAGACTTTGGTGGAGATATAGTGGTTATAGTTGATTTTAATAATTTTTTAACTTAATTTTTCTTTGTGTTTTTGTTTCACTTGTATTTACCGCTTTTAAGTGATGTAGAGTCTGGTTGCTCTGTGTAGATTAAGATTATACTGATTAAATTTGATATATATATATATATATATATATATATATATATATATATATATATATATATATATATATATATATATTATATATATATATATATATATATACTCTATTTTATTATTTTTCATTTTATTTCACCTCCTTAGGCCAAAGAGACCACTGCAGACAAGGAGGCCATTAAATTGTGGTTATAAACCTCTCTTAACTCTATAACTCTGAAACACGAATCTTGACAAACAAGACCGCTGCATGGAGAAACAAGTTTAGCACGGTACTACCAGGGACATGGTGGGGATCAAACTCAGAACCTCTCGCTTATGAAATGAGCGCTCTATCACTACACCACTACCTTGTTATACATTATATATGCAATACATATATGTATATATATTATATATATATATATATATATATATATATATATATATATATATATATATATATATATATATTGCATACATTGACTATAGCGTCTATATATGGTTATTTCAGTATAAATTTATTAGTCCCATTTCACGTGTAGCATTACATTTGGGATGCCATCTAATTGCTTTAAAATAGAATAACAAACCTAGTTCAGATTTTCTGTAAACAATCAAATTCTCAGTTTGGTGCATATAAACTTGATAAGAAATGATATACAAATGTAGATGAAAGCACTGCAGGAAAAGTAAAATAGAACCCAACATTTAAATGGTTTGCAACATTTAATATTTTCATTACAATGTGAGCATCCAGTGAACAATCTTTTATGCTGCACTAATCAACCTTATTGAGCATAAATTAATCTTAGTGGAATTGATCCAATTAATTTTAACATCAAATCCATGCATGGATTTGACATTTCTATTAATTTTATTTCTTTAAGGTTTAAGTTAGGGTATTATACAAATGCATATTTAAATGAAGTATATTTTTCTAATTCCGGATTTAGGTAATTAAAGGTCTTCTTATAGGGATTGGAGTTTTAATGGTGTTTAGTGTTAAAAATATTTTTAAAATATTTTTAAAAAAGGGCCTCTGCTTGCTTCGTTTCCTGGTGAGTTAATTAACAAAGTTCCATTGCATTAAATTTAAAAAATTGTGCAATTCAATTATAATTATTTAAATTAGAATAAAAAACTTACATTAAATTAGGAAATTGTTTTTGAAATAGCAGTCTTTAAAACCACATTATATTCATTATTTTTATCAGCAGTTTCCTATTATTAGTATACTATATAGATATTTATTACACAAACTTTTCAAAAATAAAAATCTTACATAACAGTTCCATCACTTGATGGTTTTATTAAATAACTTCTTGCGTTTAACAACTCGTTTTCCAAATTAAATAAAGCTGTTTCAACCATTTTTAATGTATAAATGGATTGAAAAAAAAATTGTTTCGATATAAAGACTTTTCAACAAAAAGGTATTCTGCTAGTTTCACAAAGACAACAAAGACCTGCTACATAATAAAGTAATTTAAGATTGTTCAAAACTAAACTCAAAATATTTTATAAACACACAAACAAATAATTTCTAGGGTACTGCGTGCAATATAAAAAACTTAGGATGTTCATATTTGTTGCTAAGAGTTACGTTGGGACGCAACGAAATAACCGTAAGTTAATAAACTTTTTAATTCCTTGACAGTAATGGCTTTTTAGCTTTTAATTTAATGAAAGAAAATTAGACCGTCTGCTTTTAAACAGTGCTTATAAACATTTTATTTAAAGAGGGCAAACTCTTTTGATTTTTTAAAATTGAAGACTTTTGACTTTTTTCTGGCTAATTTGAAAGTAAACTTATTTAGAAACTAAATACTTATTACAATAAACCTTATTTGAAAAGTAACAATTTTTGTACAATATATGGCATTTTTGTATGGCCAATTTCATATAGATTTCGTTATTCAAGATTATCAGTGATTTGGCGATACGACTATTTTGTTTTCTTCTTGCCGCCGCTATGTGTTTATTTTACAAATACGAGAGTAATTATAAATACGATAAGTAATTATTTTAAACAGCAAAGTTGTAATAATAATAAAATAATAAAACCACAGGCACGAATCACATAAAACACTAAATTGTGGCTCAGAATCCATAATTTTTTTATATAGTTATATAAAAAAATATTAGGGGTATATAAATTTTAATTATTATTTTTATTTGTTGATTATTAGAAAACAAAACAAATATCTTCCAGTTTTTGACACCTCTTCTACCCCCACTCCCTTTTCAGTGTTTTAATTTTAAAGATTTGTACATTCATCTTTTCGACTTCCGTGTCAGCATGAAAAAGAAAAATGTTTACTTTTATGTTTACGATAGCCAAACTTTCTTTATATATAAAGAAAAAATCGGCGATCATTTCAGACACTATTTCGGAACTTTACATCAGTTAGTGTTAGCTCATCATGTTTTTAAGTGACAAAACGTCAACGACTGGAGGGGCTTTCAGCCACTGAGTGGTTTACCCTAACATAAATGTGTGTTTAATGTGTTACATGTTTCAACTTTGCTAATATGTAACATACACATGTAAAAATAAAAACTACATTTAGAACATGATATTTATTTATTTTCAATTGCATATTTTAAAATAAAAGCATTAAAAATTACATGTTTTTTGATACAGTTTTGAGAATCTTAGCTTCTTATTAATACTTAAAAATACTAATTTTAAATTCAAACCACTTATTAATAGGATAAGTAATTAGTTTAATTAGTTTTTTGATACAGTTTTGAGAATCTTAGCTTCTTATTAATACTTAAAAATACTAATTTTAAATTCAAACCACTTATTAATAGGATAAGTAATTAGTTTAATTAGTTTTTTGATACAGTTTTGAGAATCTTAGCTTCTTATTAATACTTAAAAATACTAATTTTAAATTCAAACCACTTATTAATAGGATAAGTAATTAGTTTTTTTGTTGAAAGAATCTGAGCAAACCACTTTTGATCCCAAAATTGATACAGAACGATAAAAAAAAGTTAAAATAGCATTTAATAAATATTATTACTATGTGCTTTTGAATTCGAACTTTTTTTTCATCTCTTTTCTCAAAACTTTAAAAAAAAGCCACATAAAATTACGTTCTATATCTGCCATAATTATATCTTGAAAGTTTTGTGAATATTTTTGCTAAATTTCAATAAAAGTAAACTTTTACGGGAGGCATGTTATTTTGGATTTTTAACGCAAATTTACCACTGAGACATGTTTGAACAAAGGCTGGTTTCCCTGTTTTAAATTTCTTTTATGTTTGATTATTGCAACGTTAATATAACATTTGACGTTTAAAAAATTTAAATATCTAAAAATTTTGAAAACTTACCATTAACAGAATAATGAGTTTATCAAAGCTGTTGGCTAGGAGAAAATGTGAAAGTTCTGTTTGGAAATTCTTGATTTAAGAGTAAATAACTAAAAAATCCATGTGTCTAGTACAGAACAAGAATTAAGAGTGCGCAAGTAGCAAAACTCTTGCCGGAATAAATTCCAGTAAATTGGAAGTGCATCTTCAAAGAATACATAAAAACACACACAAAGTTTATATGGAAAATATAAAAACGAAAAGAAAAAAAACAATTTATGAAAGATAAAATTAATGAAGTTGTTTCTACACTTTTCCAAAATAGTGGAAAGACAAAAACTCAGACAATAGGAGAGTGCTTTGAAAGCCGAATCGATACGTGGCCGAAAGAATCAAATGCGGGACTTATTACTAAAAAGTTATAAATTTGTGACAAGGAAAGGGCCGGCTGGGAAGGGGTCAAAAGCTGTCGAATGTTGCGTGACGTAAATAACCGACGACCCTTAACCATTTATTCCAGTAAATTTACATTACAAGTAGTTCACCGATATTTACATTTACCTGTAATTATAATATCATTAATTAAATATTAGACTAAATAACAACACTATCTGCTTTACATTAAATTTTAACTAATTGAAATATTTCAGGGACTGCAACATTGAACAAAATGAACAAAGAAGGGTCTACCAATATCTTTCCTTGGAATATCTGCGTGTTTTTATAACATTGTCAACCAAGCACAAGATGCTTGATTGACAGTGTTGCTTATACCATTTCTAGTTTGTTTTTATTATTAATAATTCATTATAACTTTATTTGATAAGTTCTTTTAACACAAAAAAAGGCTGATAGAACCCTATTTTTCTCATGCGACGTTTTGTTGATTATTTTAGACAATCGATCTAATGTGGTTAAAACCAAAAAAACTATCAAAGGTGCATATTGTGCATGATAATAAAAAAGATGAGGAAGAAATCCAGTCTTAGTCTGACCCAACAAATTTTTTTTTGCCAGAACATATTCCGTGTTGTCGAACACCATGTATGGTTCACACACTTCTTATAAAACCAATTTACGTAAATTATGGTACAATTATCTCAAAAATAAAACAATTTGTTTCAAAAATTAGGAAATCAAGAGCAGGAATTGAGAAACTTATTGACATTTATGGAAAGTCTGTATTCACAACAAGATAGAACAGTAAATATCAGATGATAGACCCACCGGTGTAAATAAAGACATCGGTAAATGAGGTTCTAACGGTTAGTATAACTAATTTTGTTATTGTATACAAATTATTTTTGGGGCTTTATTAAACTCACTCCTTTGGAGACTTACCATAGAAGTTTATTAATAATTACCATTAAAAACAAGATAGGATTTACATACTTTAAATAAAGTTTACTTATAAGAAACGTACGTACGCAGTTTGACTAACTCTCGTTCACAATCTTTCCCAGAACTTGATTCCTTTTTTTTTTAACGAAAACATTTAACTTTGTAAGTTTAAAAAATCAATATGAAACAAAAAATCAATATGTATACTGTCCTTCAAAACATTAGCTATTAAATGCTTTTGCGGCAGTGGCGCAGCGGTTAGAGCACTTTCTTTATAAGCAGGAGATCCAGGTTCAAAACGAGCTTTGGACATATTTCGCGTCACGGTTAGGAAGGAGGCGTGAACTTTAGTTAAATGCACTTCCACGGTACTATGCGACAAGACCATAAGGACTTCTTGGGACACTTAAATAACAAATAAAATAAAAAAAGAAAAACAAATATTTTTTCAATATTAATTACTGAATACAGCAACTTTTTTTTAAAAAAAAATACTTTTTAAATGAAAAAAAGAGTTAATACTACATATAAGAATTAAGATTTATACATAATAAGACTACCTGAAATTGAATAGATGTGTTATTTTGCTTCTGTTAGTATTTTAATGTAAAAATGTGGTCTTCCAAAACATTAGCAGCTTTTTTATAACTATTTAAAAAAATATTAGGATCAACAACTAACAAAATATCCTTTGCTTTTTATAATCGTGAAACATCTTCTCGGCATAGACTCAATGTTTATGGAAGTATAAAAAAAGTTCATGAAAGTATAAAACAGATGATTCATCAAGCAAACTTCAAAGCAATTTCAAGTCGTCTTGGAATATGCTTGTAACCGACTATAATAAAAAAAAAAAACAAGTTTCACCGGACAAAAAATAACAAAATTCACTAAAATGATTTTTATTAAAACATTAAAAAAAGAATTATGATAAGGATATGCTATACAATACGATATTTTTAACCATTAATAGTTGTAATTATTCAACAAAAGTTTTATTACAACTCGATAATTAGGGTAAGGTTAGGGTAAGATTGTTAAAGTTAGGGTAAGGTTAGGGTAAGGGTAAGGTTAGTTAGGGTAAGCTTGCCGATATTGTACCGGCGCCTAAATTGTATTTTTGCTGTATCTAGTTATTTTTACTAAAATTACTAAATCTTTACTAAATTAGTTATTTTTACTAAAATTTTATCAATGTTATGCTGAACTTAGGAATCAACTGTCTTTTTGTGAGATGAAACTAGATTCTTGCAACAGCCCAGTTAACCAGCCCAGCTGGGTCCCAGCTGGAGTTGACTGGGATTAAGCTGAGATTAGTGGGATTGGGTTTGGGCTGGGATTTGTTCTTGGTGTCAGATGGGTCCCATGTGTTGTGAAAATAATGCCGCAAATAAAACCTGGGTTTTTACTGGGATTAGTATAGGGCTTCAGTAAATACGTTTAAGGCTGGTTTGAAGATGGGACGCGTGGTTTAAGACTAAGTAAAAGATAAAATAGTTATACAGGTTTTTAAATTTATAAAAAGAATGCGGAGACTTCCAGAAGACCATCAGGTTTTGTCATCGAGAACCGCTCGTAATTTACAATCTCAATGAATCATAATCTAATATAGTTTTATATTAGCCCATTCCATTTTGACCCTTATGAACAAATTTTCTCGTAAAATATCCGAGTGTCGTAAAATATTCTCAAGGTATTGTTTTTTTAGTAAAATTTTTTTATTGGAAGGTTTTTTATCTACACCGATTGTGCGCATTTTCATTACTTTTATTTTTGTTAACTGATGGTATTTTAATTAAAAATTAAAAAAACGTGGTTTTTAAACACGATAGCGTTGAAGTCCAATACACAGCAGTTAGAAATTTGTTAGATGCTTTTTATCTCATACAGTTCACCCACTTCGAGCCCTTATTAGATAAATTTCCTGGCCGACCATTACTCTTGTTAACCTCCTGCCATCATGTCGGAAAGTTGTAAATAAAACTCTTAAGCTGGAGAATAAACTATTTATATCATAAAACCATTAAAGATTAAAAAATAGTAAGGTAATGATAAAACTGCTTCACTTTAAAATATCTTTTTGCAAAAACAAAATGAATAAGTTTCTAGTTTAAAATTATTTACATTTAGACTTTTGAGGAGAAGAGAGATTATTGTGAACTAACGGAAAACATGCCCATTCACACGCCTTGAATTTCATGAAATTCAGTTTGCGTTTCTCTAAAATTAGGCAGGTTTTTATTCTGAGTAATCAAATACTTAAAAGAGATCAATAGAATGGCTAACTAAATTTCTCTCTCCAAAGAACCGCGGTTTTTGACCTGCGACTTTTCTGATTCTGCAATTCTTAAACTAGAACTTAATTTCATAAGTTTGTAATATGTCATAAAAATAACAAATTGTTTAAAAGCTTGTTATATGTCATAAAAATAACAAATTATTTAAAAATTATTATTTAATATTATTTAATAATATTATTTAAAAACATAAAAATAACAAATTATTTAAAAACAATGGTTTGCGAAATGGTTTAAAACCAGATGCAAAATACAAAGAAATTAACTCAAAACCAATTTTTTTTTCTAATGACAGACTTTTCTTAAAATTAGTTGAAATATGATAAAAATGAAATCAATAGAAATAGCTCTTTGATTTTATCTTGTCAAAAATAAATGCAATATTTTTTTAGCAATGTCTTTTTGAACCTTATTTTATCTACATTGCATTATTTACACTTTTAAGATCAACAAGAATATTGGCAGATGTATAATAAGACTGCTGCAGAGGTGAAATTCAAACCGTGGTAAAACTTTAGACGTTAGTATCTTTTGACAGAGATCACAATATAAAAATGGTAAAAACAAAAGGAGATCCGAGAAGGTGTAAAAACGGATAGAATCAAAGCTGAAATTCTTCTGAAAGCAGTTTTTGTTAAAATATAAACTTCCAAATTAAATGCTCTTCTGCTGTGCTCTGTGATTCAACCATAAGTTCTTCTTGGAGCACCTAAAATAACCACAGAAAAATTTATATATACATATATATATATATATATATATATATATATATATATATATATATATATATATATATATATATATATATATATATATATATATATATATATATATATATATATATATATATATATATATATATATATATATATTTGAATCACATTGATACGTTTGATCTAGTTTAGTTTACAACAAAAGATCAAAAGTCTTTTACCCAATCTTACAAGAAAACCATTTTGGATTTGGATTTATTTGATCCAAGGCTCCAGTAACAGTATTTTGAAAAAAAAACATCATTTGATAACAAAATGAGGCAAAAATCATAAAGTTTGTTGTATGACTGAAAAAAAGCCTAAAGATCGACAAAAAATCACTTTATAATAGCCAAAGATTTAATTTATCTACCCTAATCAGTGTAAGATTAGCCCTTCCGCATAAAAATTGGCCGTCGAAAAAAAATTATGGGATGGGCTAATGTATATACCTATAAAAACTTGACTGCATAAATATATTAAATAATATATGAAATTATTAAACGTTTAAAAATATAAAAATATATTATCCAGAGACAAAATAATTTCTTCAAGCCTTTTTAAATGAGAGGTAGCTCCATTCCAGAGAAAAATCAAAATGTTTTGAAACTATTTTATTCTAAAGAGAAGCTCCGCGAAATGCAATATTTGTTTTTCCAAAATTAATTTGATAAAATGGTTGTTTAATTAAATTGTCATTTCTCAAACTGTATTTATTTTCAAATCAAGGTATTTAATTATGGAAAGAAACTTGCAAGGAATTTATTTTACACTTGAAAATAAAACAAAGAGTATTAAAAACATGGAGCTGATATAGATTAAAAGTTTTCATTTCAAATAAAAGAGGCCTGGCATGAATAAATCTGTCTTTAAAAATGATAAGATGAACAATATGCTTCTGCTGACGAAAAAGAGGTTCCAGTTTACTTTTATTGGCACTACACCAAGCAATATTTGCATAGTTTAAATGACAATGGATAAAAGAAAAAAATAATTGCGTTAACCTTTGTTTATTTAAAGCATTTCTAGCCTTATACTAATCCTATTCTTTTAGCAATTTTTTTGTACAAAAAATTAATGTGATATTTCCAGCTAAAGTTTTAATCAACATATACACCTAAAAAGTTAGTATTTATTTCTAATTTATGGGTTGGAGAAGGAAGGGGGCGGGTTGATTTTGCAATGAATAATGCGTAGGTATGCGGGGAAGAAGGCGTTGAAAACTTCAAATGCGTACAACGGAAAAAGGAGGAGATCCTAAATCAGTGGTTTTATTACGTACGTACTTTATAGTTGCCCCCTAGGCATATTTAGTATCATTCACCTTCCCAAGTATACCACATATGGCAAGTATTTGTAGTCGTCTATTTGGCAGTATGTGATTAAGTTCTATTTCTAAAAACTTAAAAATACTGTAACATATAATCTATAAGATATATAAACCTGCCAGATCTTTCTGTATGGATATTTTAACAGAGAAAAAAATATTAGCATAAAGTTTGGTGTAACAGCATTTGTATAAGTGTATCACTAATACAATTAGGGGTACAAAAATGAAGAAAAAAATCTTATCCTTTTTCTTTATTAGCAATATAATAACCATTTTCTGAATATAATATTACGTCACAATTTTAAACTTAATTTTTATTTCATTTTTTTTTTTTTTGCGTTTTCTTATAAAAAACTTATTATACAAGCAAATAGCGTGCGATGGAAAAAAATATACATATACAAGTTTATATATACGCTCATGTATCTTCTGTTGTATTCTTCTGTAGAGTTTTATACGGTTCAAAATAATCTTCTGTTCTAAACGTTTTCGGATGTTTGTAGTCGAGGGGCGTTACTTCTTTTTTTGTATATAGCTGTATATCTTTTCTTTTCTAAAAAAAAAAAAAAGACATTTAATCAAAAGAAACATCTAGAAAAAAGAATGCGAGAAACGTGGTACAAATCAAGTAAGAAAAAATTAAGTTTTTTACTTTCAAAACAATTATTTCGCTACCTTAATTATAAGAAATTTAAATAAAGCCCGTGGGATACTTTCCCAATGCATTAAAATAAATTTATCTAAGAGATAAAGTTATTTAGACATATTATTTTATAGATTCCATTGACACCTAAGTGAAGCAAGTGACTATTTAAGCCTTGAAGAATCAATAGATAATACCCATCAACATTGAGAACAACGCAACAGCCAAAATACAATTAGTATCACAAAAAGTGCATTTTACATAAAGCAATTTACATAAAGCAAGTTTTGATGGATCAAAAGTTACTTTGAAGACCACAAAAAAAATTTGTAAAAGAAAGATTGAATCAACTTGATGGTAATAATGGTTTTTTAAAATTGATAATTTCAGGTGTTTTTTTCAAGTTTCAAATAAATAGAGAAATTGACTCAACCATTAATAGTGCAGGACTGAGACAATAATAATATACAATAATAAATAATGTACAATGGGCATACCGATAAGCTAGGTAGTTAGCTTATTCCTGCTAACTAATTTAAAACCAAAGCAAATACCTCATCAGGTGGACTTGACAACGCAAACAAAAAGCACAAAGAGGAACTCCGTCAATGTGCAATATGGCACTTATTAATACTCATTTATTTTACAGCTGTTAATAATAATAATACTTCAGCCTGTCTGAGAGCAAAACATTACTAACAGCCGGCCTCGGAACCATTAAACTGAGTTATAGAGCTTACCCTCATTAGAAGATAAAAGAAAAATTTGTATAACCATTACAAAGGAGGTAAAAAGATAAATCGATGAGTAGATGTAACACATTGTTTCCTGTTTTATATTTTTTCTGCCGACCTGATGCCGACCTCATACAGATCGGCAAATTAAAAAGCAAAGGTCGGTAAATTATTGCTTTTTTTTTTTTATTCTTTATTTTTCCTAATTTCGATGGCTATTTACACAGTATACACAATAGCATATACACAGTAACATTTTTTCTTGATTTTAAGTATATAATGTATAAGGAAGCAAAACTAAAAAAAAAAATAGACGTGGTAATGAAAAATCTCTGACAAAAAAGGTTTGCTTATATATACACTAATATTTATATAAATAAAATTTTTAAAAAACAGATTAATACAAACACATTTAATATTTTAAAAAACAACTAACAGATATAGAAATTGGACGAATTATTGAAGCTGCTGACCAGAGTCTCACATAAGCATTAGAAAACGTTTTAAATGACAAAACTCAACTATTAGTAGGTTGGTGAAAAAATATAAACACACTGGTATAGCTGAAAGGTCTGTTGGATTGGGGAGAAAGCCTAAAACTTTAAAAAATGAAGATCACTATATTTTTAATGCCATCGTAAAATTACATGCTCTGACATAAAACTAGATTTGAACTATACTAATATCTCAAAAGAATCAGGTGAGTTTTTTGCTGGAAACCAAATAAAAAAACTATTTGTTTATGAATTAATCGCAAAAAAAAATAATAAAGTGGTACACTGAGCACAAAGATTCGACATTTGAGTAATGGATAAAAGTTATTTGGAGTGATGAGTCTCCTTTTATGTTGTTTTATAATGGTCGATCTCACTGCTGGAAATTAATTGGGGAAAAGTTCAATCCATAAACATGCAAAACAACCATTAAACATGACAAAAAGATTAATGTTTGGGGTTGTTTTAGTGCACACAAAGTTGGAAAGCTTTACCAGGTGGTGGGTACCATGGACCAGTATCACAAAATCTAAGTTTATCAACTTGGTCTATATTGGATAGAAAATTGCAAGATCATAGATCATATTCTTCTTGCTGGTTGAATGCTTTGCCAAATGACTTTGCCAATAGAATTGTAGTTAGTATGCCTTCTAGATGCGCAGAAGTCAAAAGAAAAAAGAATGGCCAATTAAGTACTAATACAGCTAAAACTTGAAAAATAATTTACAAATCCTAATTTCTTTTCATTATACGTAATGTACAATAATATTATATACATTTCTTTAAAAAAAAGACATATTTTTGTTGGTTTTTTATCAAAAAATTGAGTGTGGCTTTTTTTCACCTCTCTCTCTCTCTCTCTCTCTTTCTCTCTCTCTCTCTCTCTCTCTCTCTATATATATATATATATATATATATATATATATATATATATATATATATATATATATATATATATATATATATATATATATATATATATATATATATATATATATATATTTTTTTTTTCCCCCTCTGCTGAAACATACAGAAAATTATATTGATAATTGATATTGTAAAAAAAAGTATTATAAAAAAAAAAAAATATAAAAATTAATTAAAAAAATATATAAAAATTGTATTATAAAAAAAATAAAAATAAAAACTAGTACTCAATATTTAATTTAAAATAAAAACATCTACTTTGATAAAACTTTCAATACCATCTCATAAGTTCAACCAATCAAACGCCACACAACCAATTGTAACAACACATCCACAATAGATTATTAAAAGGCTGTGCCAAAAAATTGTCACAAGCTTGATATTTTTTAAAAATCAAAGAACTGTCAGTTAATTTTTAAAAATATTAACAAACTTTGTGTATCCATTCAAACTTGTGTATCCAAATGGTGTGCATCCATTATAAAAATGTCAAAATGTACTGGTAAATTTACAGGTAAAAAGACCGATAAATTTTACGATTGCAACACATCTCAATTTCACGATATTTATGCTAATTGTCTTTGTTTTTTATTAGTGAATAAAAGAAGTTAGAGTATTTCAAAATTTCACTAATTTTTATAAAAAAAGCAGTAAATTTTCAAAAATTAATAATTTTTTTTTTGTAAATATAATTAATTCGGTGATTCTTAGTAATACTAAGATTAAATTTGATCATTTATTTTAATAATTTGCTTACTTAAGATTTTAATAGTATGCATTTTTTCAAATTGCTGTTTTGCTAAAAAATTATTTCAGCAGGTTGCATATAAACACTATTATTTTTTTTATAGATTTATATTTACTAACTAATTACAAACATTATTTGAAAAAAAAAAAGTTTGTAAAATTTGAGTTTAGCATGTTTTTTTTTTTTTATATTTTGTCTTAATCGACTGAAGTTCCATGTTGACCGAACTTAGGCAATTTTATGGTATATATTTATATATATTTATATATACACTTGTTATCTATCTACTATAGGGTATATAAATAACAAACTGTTACTAGTTTTGACAACAAATTACTTTTAATTACTTTGACTTTCAAACATTTTCATGTTGTTTTAAAGCCAAAACCATTAAATTAATTGTGAATGAAACATTTTAAGTACACCAAAAATGCAAACTTAATTGCACAGCTAGTTTTTGCATAACAAGCTTCTGTTTTGCAAGATAAAACATCTCCACAAGTGAAATTCTTTTTCGTGATAACTTTTAATGAGCTGAAAATCTTTTTCGTGTAACTTTTAATGAGCTGATCTACAAAGGTGCCTTGAATTTGGAGCATAATTTTAAGTTTGTAACATGTTAAGCAAGTATCTTTATAAGAATAACTTTGCAAGATTTTCAGGAACTAAATTGCAACCATTCTTAAAAATTCTAGATCTTCTATGCTAAAACTTTAAGCTGCAGGTACTGAAAATTTTCATTTTTTGTTTATCATTTCCTACAGATTCCAAAGATTTAAACTTGTCCTGTAACAAAATCTTAAAGCTTCTAGATGTTCTTATCATAAAATTTACTTTCTCTAAATTTTGTAAAAAGTTAATTGTAATTCACTGAATAAGCTCTGCTTTTTCTAAAAACTTATGCTGGTCAATACATGTTTTAGTACAGCCACCAGGTTAATGCAGATTGAACTGCGGGCTTCATCGACTGAGGGTGACAATTTATGAAGGAAGAATATGTATTTTATTTTACAGGGGTGGGACCGCAAAATGTGAACGTTTTTGTTTTATTATAACTATTTTCTCGTTAGATGTAGTTGTACTCTCTCACTCATCAGAAAGTGTCTAAAGAGTTGGTCTAAACGTTGTAAAATGATCTACGAGAATCAAGGAGGTCAAATTGAACATTTAAAATAGTTCATATTTAACAGAAAATTAATTATTACAATCAGAAAAGTGTTCACATTTTGCGGTCCCACCCCTGTATATACTAAAGGTACTTATTACAACAATACTCTTATACAACAAAAACTTATTAACACAACTTATACTCTCTTTAAAATCTTTCTTAACACTTGTTTTACCAAGATAAGTTTCTTAACACTTGTTTTACCTTTTTTAATTTAGCAAGATAAACTCCAAATGCTCTAATTTTATGTTTTATTTAAAAATAAGTATATGAAATGAAATAAAAAAATTAATAAAAACTAAAAGTCTCACCAAAAGAAACTTTGGAACAGGAACATTGTTCAGTAATTTTTTTATGTTTTTACTACCAAGTTCTTTCTCTGCAATCTTTACTTTTTCCTCATTGTCTTCAACACATTCTTTTACCATTGACATAAATGTCTAAATAAACAAATGTAAAAATCTTATGATCAAACTATTATCTAACAGAGGCACATACAAACATCTAACAGAGGCACATACAAACATCTAACAGAGGCACATACAAACATCTAACAGAGGCACATACAAACATCTAACAGAGGCACATACAAACATCTAACAGAGGCACATACAAACATCTAACAGAGGCACATACAAACATCTAACAGAGGCACATACAAACATCTAACAGAGGCACATACAAACATCTAACAGAGGCACATACAAACATCTAACAGAGGCACATACAAACATCTAACAGAGGCACATACAAATATCTAACAGAGGCACATACAAATATCTAGCAGAGGCACATACGAAAGAATTAACAGTAAATTTATAAATAAGATCCAATGTTTAATTGCTTTTAATAATTAATAAACGTTTATCTGAATGTGGAAATACATCAAATCTATGCCTTCAGGAGCTAAACTTAGGAAAAGTATTTAATTGTCATTGCAATCAAAATAAATAAAAAAGTATTCTGCTCACAATTATGATTTGCAGTAATTTGTTTCAGTAAAATTTTGCAGTAATGCAATAATTTGTTTCAGTAATATGTTGCAGTAATTTGTTTTAGCAATATGTTCTAGTAATTTCTATCAGTAATATGGTCCAGCTTTTTGTTCTAGAAATATATTTGATTGTTCAACTAATATGTTGCAGTAATTTAAAAATAAATAGTAAATAAATTCAAAAATAATTGTTCCAACAAAATAATTTATTTCAATAAGTAATTTATTTCAATAAAATAACAAATAGTAATAAACAAAATGTTCCAGTAATTCCAGTAACTCGTTCCAGGATTATTTCCTCATTTTCCAGACAATAAACCACTTAACTTCATTTTTTGATTTGTGTCTTGACTCTGACCCTAACTTGTAATTAGTTCCTCCTTATTTTTCATGAGATAGTTCAGATCATGCTTTGATCTTGATAAAACTTTAACCTATCATTTCTTCTACATCAGATTCAAACTTCTCACTACTACCATAGAGCTGGGATTCTTTTTATGATTATTTTTCGCTGATGGACTTTAAGATAATGTCTTTAAGTTCCAAATTTTGTGCCTCTCACATAATTTAGACAGGCATGTATGCCTTTATTTGTCCTTGTTGGTTTCAAGTCAAGTATCACTGCACCCAAGGTTTTCTCCGTCTTGTGTAACTGGTATTTCTAATTTTAATAATTTTTATTTGTCTTGTTACTATATTTCATCCCTAACACACCATCATATTACCACTTCACAAAGAATAGGCAAAACCCTTTACAAAGGACTTTTTCTCTAAATTATCTCTTGAATCAAATGACTATACTCTTATAGTCATTCCAGAGAAACAGACCAATTGTTAAACACCCAAATCAATTGTTAAACACCCAAAACAATCTGACTTTGTTGCTAAGGTTATTTCTACATATACAAATCTCTTATTCATCACTGCTTTGAATACTTTGTATTTAGGTTGATTTTTAGGTAGTTAGACCTACTCAATCAGTCAGACTGAGCCCTTGTCCAACTGTCTCATCTTTTTACTAAAACATTTTTATCTGGTATTTTGTCTCAAACATCAATGCTTTGGACTTTTCTTCTGTCTTTATGTTTTCTTGACTTGGACAACAGTTTTTCAAGTCTTCAACTTCTTGCTCCTTCCTGTTTACTATATCTTAATTCCAAACATACATTTGGCTTTGTCAGTAGTAAATTTTTTAATAAAAACAAAGACCAGCAATTAACAAGTTACAAATGAAGTTATAAGCTCTGAAAAAAACTCTCCCTAATCATCAACTAATTTTTAAAACAACTTTAAACAAAAATTTATAGTGTGGAAATTTAAATGGGCATTTAAGTTTGGTGTCTCTATAAAGGTCAAAATATCTATAAACTTCTGCCTAAATTACTCAAAAAAAAAATTATTTTATTCTTAAAAAAAAAATTATAGCTGAAATATAACTAAGAAATTTGTGGTTTTATATCAAAAAATATGTGAGGTTATATCATAAAATATGAGAGGCTATATCACAAAATATGTGAGGTTATATCACAAATTATGTGAGGTTATATCACAAAATATGTGAGGTTATATCACAAATTATGTGAGGTTATATCACAAAATATGTGAGGTTATATCATAAAGTATGAAAGGTTATATCAAAAAAATATGACAGGTTATATCACAAAATATGTGAGGTTTTGTCATAAAATATGTGAAGTTATATCACAAAATGTGTCTTAACAAACTTACTTCTAGTCTATCAATTTGTTTAAAAATCATTGTTAGATCTTGACATCGATGATGAAGAACAGGGAGTATTGTAAACAAAACATCTTTCGATTCACTGCGTATCTATTAAATACAAAGTTTTAAAATTATTTGTAAAACTTAATCAGTGGCAAGTTCAAATAAACTAGATACAAAGGTCAAAATATAGATAGATTAAATATTATCAGTTACTAGTTAGTAAAATGTTATCTATTCTTGCTATAAATATGTATATATATATATATATATATATATATATATATATATATATATATATATATACAAATAGTATTGCATACTAAGGTAAGCAATCTGACGTCATACTGAAATAGCCTGCTGCTGGGGGCTTCAGTACATACATCAACTGACAAACAGCCTGACTCGCAGTGGAGTGCTGCTACATCGACTGAGGGTTTGGGATGGGGCAGCAATCGTTCCATTTATCATTCGTTTTTTTTCTTCTTTTTCTAAAAATACCATATGGATTAAGGTAAGCAAAAAAAGTGAGCAAATGCTTAAAAAAATATGCTTTAGTAAGTGTATGTGTGTGTGTGTATATATATATATATATATATATATATATATATATATATATATATATATATATATATATATATATATATATATATATATATATATATATATATATATATATGGCTAATTCCACGATGGAAGGGATAAATTTCGTGTTTAAAAATTTCTTTTTTTAAATACTTTTTTTCTTTAATTGTAATTTAAACACATTAAAATTATTGTTAAAATAAATTTTGAATAGCAAATATTTGAACCGAGTCGATAAATTTGATGAATGATAGCAGTTGTTTTCTCTTTTTATTATTTGAAAAAGTTAGTAAAATTTAAGGGCAAGTTATTGCAACATTCTAAGCAAAATATATCCATATTTTTATTTAAAAAGATTCTTTGAGATTATATGAATGAATTGAGTTTACACACTTTTAAACTTTGAAAATAATTCAAGTGTTTTTTTACCACATACACATCTGCAAAAATTAGGTTGCGTCACTGAACTTAAAGATAAAAAAGTTTATTTATCACTATGAAATGAGGTTTTAGGGCGAGGTTTTTTTAGATATTCTATATTATAGTGTGAACTTTCTATCACTATTAAAAAAAAAATTGGTTAAAAAGCATTATATTAACTTATATTTAATGTTTAAAAGCTGTTGCGTCACTGAACCCATCAACGGGATAATTAACGTTTAAAAAAAAAAAGGCGGTAAGGAAGTCAAAGTATCATCTAAAAATTCAGATTTCGTTGTGGATTTGGTCGATAAAATTTTGCATTTTAATTTTGTGAAGAGCTCTTGTTAAATATTTGTATTTTGTTGGCATTTTCTTATAAAGTTATACACTTTTAAGAAATGGAATCAAAATTAGAAGTAAAAAAAAAACGTTATGCAGAGTACCAAGCTAATTATGTTTCTCAGAATCCTGATAAAAAGAAACAAATGTCCAGAGAAAGATCTAAGAGATATCGAGAAAAATTGAAAGCCGACCCTAATAAAAAAGCAGCTTATTCTGCTAAAGCAAAACTTAGAGTTATAAAAAGTCGCGTTTTAAAAAGAAAACTTATAAATCAATCTCAAAGACTTAGCTCATCTATTAAAAACGTTCAACAAAGAGGAAAAGCATTGAAAAAGGTTTTAAAAGCACTACCAAACTCAAAAAAAAAAACAAGCTGAAATTCTTTCTATTCTTTCAAGCAGCTCTGCATGTAAAGAAAATCCGGGTCTACCTCCATCATATTCAAAGCTGTATGGTCTTTCTAAAAGTGATGTTTTAGCAGTTGCAAACTTTTATAATGAAGTTGAAGTTTCCCAAATACCACCAAACAAAAAAGATGTCACTCAAATTCAATTATCTGACAGAAAAACAAACAATATTCCAATACGTCATTTATATTATACGCTAAAAAAAGCTTTCGAGCTATTTAAGGAAAAGCATCAGCACATCAAAATTGGACTCAGCAAATTTTGCGAACTTCGTCCACGCAATGTGAAATCTGTCACAAAATTTCCACACAATGTTTGTGTTTGTAGTTTGCATGAAAATATGCGATTTGCCTTAGATGCATTAACAAAATCAATTCAAGCGCCTTCAATCAAAGTTGGATCTGAAAATATAAATAACTTTGTTTGTGAACCGTTTACAAGCGATTGCGCCTATGACAATTGTGTTGCATGCAAAGGTATGAAACAGTTTGATAAACATTTGCAAACTGTTGATACATTTGATTTCGAAGTATCCTGGGACGAGTGGAGAAAGCCTGAAACTAAAACATATGAAGTCTTCTGTAATAGAACTTATCCAGCACATATCAGCGATGCGTGATAAGTTTGTTAAACACGCATTATAAAGAAATTATCAACAATTTTTAAGAAACTGAAGGAAGTTTCGATGAATATTAATTCTGAAATTACGGTAATTCAAGTTGACTGGGCTGAGAACGCTAGGTGTTTCTATCAAAATGAACCGCAAACGGCTCATTTTGGCCTAAACCAAGTTTCTATCATGACTATTGCAGTCTGGAACGTTGAGTTAAAAACATTTGCTATAGTTTCTGATTCTACTGATCATACAAAGTCTTCAGCTATACCGTACATCGACAAAATGCTTCACTTTATTCTTAATCGAGTCAAAGAAGTACACATGTATGTGTACTGTCATGTGTGTATATGTACATGTATGTCATACATGTACACATACATGTACACATGTATGTGTACATGTATGTGTAATGCCACTTCTTAGTTTAAAAACAAAAGCATTATGGCTGCAATGGTTGTGTTTGATAAACATTTCAATAAAAAATTCTTCTGGCATTTCTTTGCAGCAATGCACGGGAAAGGAGTGGTTGACGGGATTGGAGCTACTGTTAAGCGAATCGCAGCGCTGAGAATTAAATCTAGTCAATGCAAGATCAAGTCAGCAGCTGATTTTGCTTTAGTATTAAAAGATTTGCAATTATCTGTAATTCATATGTCAGAAAGCGACACAAGACAACAAAAAAATGAACTTGGATTCAGTTCAATTTTAAGTTATTCAAAAAAATAAAAGACATATCTAAGTCACATTATTTTTATATTCAGAATGATAACGTTGTTCCCATGCTATTTTCACCTGAACATAATTAAAATTTATTGCAAAATAACATAACTTTTTAAACATGATTTTAATTCCATTTTTTGTTTCGTCACTGAATGTTGCGTCACTGAACTGATAGTTTTTTTCTGTAAAATAAATCGATATGAAAACTTCGCTGTTTATGGCTTTTTTTATGAATGGCTTATTGCCAAATGAATAAATTACAACAACAAAATCTAATTAGTCTAGCAAGAATTAAAGTTTCAGAGAAAATTCTGTTTGAAAACATACTGATAAAAAAACACTTTTTTCCGTGTTGCGTCACTGAACTCATGTTTTAATTTATGTCTTGTGTCATTGTTGTTACAATAAAATTGTTTTTAATTTATATTATAAAATTTTAATTTAAGATTATTTTGGAGTAATAATTATTTTTTTTACAGAAAAATTTTTATTAAAGAAAATCTCTCCGCATGTTGCGTCACTGAACTATGGAATTAGCAATATATACAGACCTTCTCGTAAGAGGCGTGCGATCGGACGCTTTATATAACCACGTATATAGTTCTTTGTTTAAACAAAGAACTATATACGTGGTGTGACGTACTGTTTTTTTTAATGAACGTTGACTTTCGTATCTTTATTTATTGAACATCTAATTTAAGAGATTTATGTCAAACAAATTTCAAATAATTTTTATTTTAGTTAATAAGTTATCAATATATCAAATATGCTTGGTAAATTAATTCAATTGTTATTTTTCAAAAACTTTTTTTTACACATTTGCAAAGCACGCAAAAATTAATGATAAACGCACAATAAAAAAAACTTTTAGAAGTGATTTTAATATGCTAACAAATATTATTTCACTTTATGGAAAATAATAAAATTAAGAAAAAAAACGTGCACAATTTTAACAACTTTTAATGTAACTGCTAAAAACAGAAAAGAAACCATGCTTAAACATTATGATCGCTTTCTTCAATAAAAGAAAGCAATCGAATTGTTTTGGACGGTTTCTTTGGGAAGTATTTGCAAAAGCATTTATTTTATCTAAAATTATGCATACTTTTGTGAGCGCATGCAAAAACCATGCTAAAACGTAATTACTTTCTATTTATATTACTTAAAAGTGGCGCTATTGAAAAAAGTAATTATGATTTGACATTTTTTAAAAAAAGTCTCTGTAATTAATTGTTTTTCATTTTAAATACATGTTTTTTGTAATAAATAAAAAAACTAATGATCACAAAATTGTTTAGAAAAAATGCGTTCGTTTTAAAAATCTTAATCAAACGGCAATGTTTGTATAAGCAAAATTAAAGCAAAATTATTTTATCATTCTTTAAATATTTTACTTTTTTAGGTTAATTTTTGTTATATATATTATTTTAAGGATTCTATAATCTTTTAAGTTTATGGATTGTTTATTTTAATTTGCTGTTTTTTTTTAGCGCAATTTTTTAAACGCGCTAATTATCAAAACTTGCAATGAGCCGTGGTCAACTTGTTCAAATAAAGAACTATATGTGTGGTCATATAAGGCGTGCGATCGCACGCCTCTTACAAGAAGGCCTGATATATATACAACCCTCAGAATAAGGAAAAATGAGGTTTCCTTATTTCGAGCAAATATTTTAGCAATATTTTGCCGACTTCAATCTTTTAGAGGTCGGCATCAGGTTGGCAAAAAAATTTTTGATACAAAGGTCTTACCATAAAACATAAAAACAAGGTCAGCAATATTTTGCCAACCTCAAACACTTTTAGGTTGGCAGTTAGGTCGGCATTGTCGAATGCCAACCTTAATTCCAAGGGTTGTATATATATATATATATATATATATAGTATTATAATATAATAAGGAACTTAATAGCAGTGCTCATTTAAGCGTGTTTGACATGTGGCAGTCATTTAAACCATGGTAATAGTCAGAAAGAGTTGCAGTACTTTCTTTTATAAAAAAAGTCAACAAAAGT